TATATATGCACTACGAAACAATGCCATTAAAAATTAGCATTAAAACGGTTTAGCTAGCCGCAGAGATTGATTGTCTTAGGCGAGTCTTGGTCTCCATGCCTGGTTAGCCCCACTTACCCTCCTAGTCAGTTAATTAAATTTAAAGAACATCGTTTTGTTACGCTCCTATCAAACGTTGATCACACATGCCCGTATCGGTTCTGAGCAGACTATTTCATTTAGCAAGATTAGTTTCACCGGCACCGGACGACCTAGCGGTGGCCAGACCACCCGAATCACGTCCATTCAACACGTTATAGGTCGATCCGAACTTGCGAAGTCTGCTCAGTGACTCGCTTCTATGCGTAACGGACGCATTTTTAACACCACGACATAATAGGGATTTGGCAGAGAACATCAAATGCAATGTAGAGCAATATACTAAAGTGAGTGTTGACAGGTATTGTCAACCATTTCGCCCTCGATCATTAGCTAACCATATTGTTGACTAAACATATTATGTATTAGGTACAATCTGTTTGGAAGGCTCAAGTAGTCTGCTTTTGACCACTGCTCGCACGATTAAAATGTCACTGGCGAAATTTCCTTTTCACATTTTTAGGTCGTGCCTTAAATCAACTCGAAGGTAAATCTACAAGTTACTAATTACAAACGGCATTGTTAAGGGGCAATCATTAAACACTGAAAATTAGTGTGAAAAATATTGCAACATCGATATCAATAAAATGATAGAACGTATAAGAGAATGTGAATATTAGGCGAAATCTCTTCATCATCAGGACGGATTGGTACGCATATTCCCTTATATCGTTAAAACTAGCCGCGTTCGATTCGATTCACTGCATAATCTCAGACCTTTGACAACCACTTTTTATTGAGAGGACTTGTCATTCGGAAGAGCTATTCCAACCAGCGATGCAAGGAATGCATCAATAGTACAACGTCTAAATCTCTGCCCGTTCAGACACTTTCTAACGGCCTTCAGCGCTGTTTAAAAGCGCACACCGCCATAAAAAAGAAGAACACCAATGAAGCATATCAGTCACTAAAATCAAGAAGCTAATGCTAAAGCGGACACTTATGCCGTAAGGGAATCGTCGCATAAACTCGAACGCCTAAAGATGGTACTTCAAGCATGTCTTATTTTTCACCTTAACAAGTTGTAAGTTTGTTTTGACTACTAAGGGTCTATAAACTATTTCTGTCGAAAAGAATAAATGCAGTTGGTGTTCCTGCATAGGTATTTACCAATAAAAGCTACATTTCGTACAGAACGATCATTATATTAATGACAACTTTTGTATCCAAGCACAGATCGTCGATGTAGTCGTCGAGATTTCCTCTACTATAAAGACTGTTGTATCTTTGAATTCCATTCAGTGAATAGCAACGTGATGACCTTGTACTCGATTGCGTAAAATTCCAATCAGTTAACGGGTCTGACAACCTCAGATCTGAGCACCCTCTACGGATAAAGTGTCTAGCACACCGTTATGGCAGGCTAATTGCATACACGCCTCTCTCTTCTGGCCGAGTTTAGCCCTGTTCCTCGATGCAAATTTCTTGACATCCTCTTCAACCGGCTGGCTGTCGGTAATGAAAATCTGTGCGCTAGACGCTCATTTGGCTTACGCCCGGAAATCAGCAAGCTATCACAATTATACTTTTAGTTGCAGCTCTTCTTGACGATATACTTCTGTACCAATACAAGACCCCAAAGCTCACCTTGTGGACTGGCGTTTGCCCGCTGATCGCTGATGTATTCAACAACAATCTCTGGCAGATCCCAAGTCGTGTGGCAAAAAATAAGTTCGCAAACTAGCTGGTGTTGACACGTTTTTGTTACCAGCGCAGAACGCAGCCACTCCCTTTCAACAGCTACCTTTCTACACAAGAGACAACCAGCGAGTTAACTGGGTACCTGCATGAGAAGGTTTGCACGACGAGGCTATCTTGGTCTCTCTCATGCCGCACAATAAACACCGGCCGATTTCCTAACAAAATAAGACATTGTGCGTGAAGTGCACAGTGGTTCATTAACCACCCCATGGACAAACTACACAACGTCAGAAATCGGATGGTCGTGCAAGCATGTAATATTTGAACGCCTAGGCTTATCTCGTTGACAGTTCGAACACCTCATAGTTAATCGGCCACCTATAAAAAATTTTAAGACCGCGTAGAATTTCCATCCAGGGAGAAAAAGGGACAAAGGAAATATTAAAGAAAGAAAGATTATAGCAGTAGCCGCTGAACGAGGACCAGGATGAAAGCTTCATTTGAAAGCTTAAACCGGACCGGTATCGGTACACCGTGAACAAAAACGTTACATCGAATACTAATAGGACAACGCAGGCCAAAAAGCCCGTGAGAGAATATTTGCACGCATTTAACTAACGTATTCGAAATCGGCGTGAAAGTAGGAATCTTAAAGAAAACGATCAACTCAAAAGTTAATCCATACAAACCATTGCAAGTCTAGTGGAAAGCTATGGTGCATCCAAGTGTTTATATAGATTTTGCATACTGTACATTACCGAGGTTCGTCGAGAGAAATTATTCTAATCATTTCACGCTTGTACTTTTGTCCAATATTTCCCTTTTACAGTCGTTCCCCGGAAATTAACACATAAAAGGCATGTTATAATTACTATAAAGGAAATGTAGAAAATAGCATTAAATCGTTTATCCTTCTTATTTGCACGCATTTAGTCCTATTTTATCGTTTGACTCTACTCACAGGTTATTTCTGGATACTGTCAGAAGTTTCCTTTCGAATCGCACTTTGAATGCAATTTCACAAACGTATGACAGGTGTAAATAAATAAAGAAGCAACATACATGTAACCCTGACAGAAAAGCCTCTGACTGAAGGAGATCAGAGAGTTGCTATAAAACCAAGTTTTGCCGAAAACACGGACACTAGAACAATACAATTTGTGTTAGTAGAAAAAGTACACTTCGATAGATTGGCATTGACATCATCAGGCGATACGTTTTTTATATGAACATCGGGGTAGTTTCAGGTTATATCTGCTCTGTACACCTGCTGTTTGTGTTTAGGGTTGTACGAATGAATCATATCCGTACTTTACTGTCCAATATGACCTACTTAGTATTGCTCATAATTGTGCTGTAAAATCAGCTTGTCCGCTACGTATTTTCCCAAATTCACGTATATACTTTTCAGCTAGAGCAGGCCTGCTTGGGCACTCTCCCGAGCTAAAGACCATGATTAAAGCATTTAAGGAAGATTTATCACTTATGCTCTGAACCGGTACAACTGCAATGTTGCCCATGAGTGCTACTGGGGAAAGTCATCTCCTAGTTGTTCCTGCCATAGAAAAATATTATATCCTCGTGAACAAATTCGATACTAATGTGTATGTAAATCTGCTGAGCGAATATGTGTAACAGCGTATATTTCTATGTCCTGTTCACGGCTATAAGTTTAAAATATCTGACAGTTGTATATAGCAAACAGACGCATATAGATATAGCAAGCAATCAAGGTAAATTGAAATGGTTTCCATCCTCGGTATGAATTACTATTTATCGGAATAAGGCTTTTTCGCACCAAGGATGAATCTTTAATCGATGAAGAAAAACCGTGCTTCTTATACAGTATGAGAAAATTTCACCTTTAAAAACACTAAGTGAATTTTTTTGTGGATAATGCTATCGAAAGCATTGCGGCTTCTGTATCTCGTAAAAGTCCTATAGGAAAAAAACGTGCTATAATTTCCAGTTCAGTTAAAGCAGTTCTCTGCGTGAAATGGTAATTACTCTGTATTGACGCACAAGGATAACAAATAAGAATAAGGATCTGCACTAAACGTTTCTGCCTGCATCAAATGTTTAATATTACGACCCCTTCAGCAGGACAGGTAGGGCAGTGAATCATCTGTAACGTAGCAGGGCAACTCTTGAAAGTGGTTTTCCATACGAAATGAATATGCCTTTAGACAGTACAGCAATTTCCTGATCAGTAACTGATCGCCCACCCCGATACGTACACTCAGGCATTACGGTTGAACATGTAACTAATTCGATAGTAATTTTCTTTCTCTTCAGAATGTCAAAATAATGACATCAATTCATTCACACACCGATACAATTCCTATTTTTAAATGGCGCAAAAATTTATTTCGAGCTTTTCCTATACAATTATAGCGTCTTGCAACGGTAACCGAACGGCAAAACACGAGATCAACATTTACAGGGTATTAGGCCCTCTTTTGCGTACCAATAACAAACACCCCAGTGGATTTCCTGCCAGTCTCCCTTTCCACAACCAGACATTATATATGCAGATCTGTACATTCTGCTACGCCCTGCTGTACTAGATAGATTTGCATGCTTTTAGGCACCCGTTACGCTGCTTATATATCGTTTTCCTCTGTCTATACGTAGGAATTCGCTGTGAATACTGTTTCGTTCGATTCTGTTTCTAAAGGGTCATGGAGGCGGCCATGGTAAACGTAGGGTTTTGAAAAATCAAAGATGCCGGATCGTCATACTTCAACAATTATGTCGCTTCGATGGGCGATATATACATAATAAACATATACTATATTTACCTATGTTTAACATATATGCATGTTTCGAGCAAACATCTAACAAACACATATTGTCTATTGTCGAAAGTTGCTGTTTAACAGCGCCGTTGTGGTACAGAGTAAAAAATTGCCTATTTTCCTGTCTCTCGAATCAATAATATATCAAATCAAGTTGATTAACAGCTTATTTGATAACTGAATCTAGCATTCGAATGGCGCGACAGGAACGGGGAATGGTAGAGGTCAAATAATCTAGAACTCGTCATGTCAAAAAGATTGGAACAACAACAAAAAAATTTTAAAGCATATGGACTTGTCGTAGGATAACGAATAATCAGGCACGATATAGGACCACGTCACTGCTCGACTCGGCACTACCTCTGGGGTGGGTAAAGCTTGACAATGTCAAGTTACAACTGTGTCATGTAGAAATAGGAAAAGCCTTTATAGGATTTCGATCGACCACATCAGTTATCGCTAGAGTTGACCATTGTTCAAGGATTAACAATACGATCCATGACGATGGTTAGATGCTAGCATGCTAGGTCAATATTGCTAACATGGCGGTTTGCCTAACCGATTATATGGTATTCTTGCGAACAAATATAAATTATTATAAAGTGAGCAAAATCATCTGAGAAGAACTGCGATATTTTCAAGTGTGTATAGATCCCTAGCTTTCGCATTCAAGTTCAACGCTATGTACATTGGCCGTTCGCTCGGCTCGTTGTTTTAAATGAGCATTCGCATTTATGTCGGAAGACTGCTGCATCGTCGTGACTGAGAGGACCACAAATTATATATTCGTTATTTGGAGGATATTTTACGTTTTTTACATTTTTCAAAATACTGACAGACTAATCGTACGAACGTATCATACGAAACGCTTGAATCAAAATCGAATTGACCTCACAAGGAAGATACGCTTTGAATTATGGTCTTTATTAT